ATCTAAGGGCTAATGGTTCTAGGATTCCTAACTGATCATGATGGATGATCTAAGGAACGGATGACTCCGATTTAGTTCTCTCTTCAACTCACATACTACTTAGAAGTGCTATGGTCAAATTGAAATCAAATGGAAAATGGCATACCATGTTTGTTCATGCTCTCAGCCCCAGTTTCCTGAGAGCATAATACCATAGGTGCTTCCTAGATTTAGAGGACGCAAACAGGACCAAGGATCAGTGCACTGCTGGTAATTGGGTGCAGGTCGTGCACTATCTTCCCAGCTTCATTTTTCCTTCAGTTTTTTTTTTTTTTCAACTTATTGTACTTGATTCCTAGCTGTATTAGGATTCTTATTTGTATAAAGATCCTACTTGTATTAAGATTCCCACTTGAATTTGGACTTATGTTTAAGTTAGGATTCCTGTTTGATTTAGAATTATAATTGAATTCAGTTCATGAATAAAGTTTTTTAAGGCAGTAAGAGTTAAGATCTGTAGGTTGTATTTAGGTTTTATTTTCTGCTTCCGTTGTACAATTTAGCATTGTAAGTATTACTACTTGGATGTCAATCAAAGAAAAAGAGAAATTTTTTGAATTTCCACTGAGAATTCTACATAGCCACTACTTATAGATAAAACATGAAAGTCCTAATAGCAAAGTAAATAAACTTATTGTCATTAACTAGTTAGATGAATGCAGTGATTTAACCCCTACATGCAATATAGAAATGGTAAAAAAATCACAAATACCCTTAGACAAAGATCATTATGCAGTTACACCACTACACATACTTATAGACACAGATCAACAATGCCAAGACTTCAAAAGAAAGCTTCAACCAATTGATGGAGCTAGATCAAAGATTTCAAGATTTGACAACCCAAAATGATGGCCAATCCATCCATTTAATGTACTTGTTATGCACCCCATTGTATTGCTAATTTCTTAGGACCAAGCTCAAGGCTAGGTGGTCCATAAGGAAAGTACCCATAACATAACATCTTGAGTTCCACTCCCACAAGAGTTCCTCTCCTACAGAGGCTAGGGGACCCCTTATCTGCTAAACTACCAAAGAAACAAAAATGGGCTTGACATCCGACAATCACTGGGTTTGGGTCGACTTAGCAACCCAGTGGGTTGATGATAAGTATTAAAGATATTATTTTCAGACTTTCGAGAATTATATTGTAAGAAAAAATATTTTTGTATCTTTCAACATCATCTGACTAAACCTGGTTTGGGGCATGCTCAAAATCGACTAGGTAATGGATGACAATGGGTCCAGCTAGAGAGTAACAAGTTAACCCGCTTGGTTTGCAAATTATAACAAGGATTTCTTCTGAATTTTCATATAAGAAGTTTATCAATTTCATAACAACAAAACTAGTTTCTATGCCTACTTACCCCAATCAACACATAACTCACATGCTCTGAAATAATCCACTTCAGTACATTCCAAGACTCTGTTGACACACTATTATTCATCTTGCAGGTTTTCCTATGTATGCCCTTGCGCATTTCCTACTTAGTTCAAACACAACTAATTCTTGTTAAAGGCTAAAAATCGAAAACTCTAACACCAATCCAATGACCCGTAACTTGGAAACTATGCTTCAGCATAAATAAAGCCTTACATGTGGCCAAAAAGGCAAAGCAATGCATGGTGGAAACACCTGTGGTTTGGAATTACTTTAAGAATTGGAATCGCAGATGGCCAAATGATTCCTACAATCGGAATCGTCGTCCATATAATGCATATCGCATGAAGCGTGATTCTCATCATTTGGAAATCGCACTCCAATCCAATAGTAATCAAGATTTCTACATGTTGGAATCGCAGTCCCACCAACTTGGAAGTTGAAATCAATATTAACTTCGGGAATCGCATACCAAACAACTTAGAAACAAGCCAGAAATTACCAAAAAAAGAGTTTTAAAAAATAAAACATTTAAGATTTTAGATTATTTATAAGCAAGAATTCCTTAGTATTGGTCTTCAATATTGAGTACACTTACTGAAGGTTGCCATATAATAAATGTCTTTGATAGGTCTCCCCCAATATCGAGTCAATGTATAGAGCGCCCAATATCGAGTCAATGTATAGACTACCCTTTATCACAATTCTGCACACATATTGGGAATAAGGTTGAGCAACCATAACTTAATATTTTTCAAAGGTGTGTCCATGTGGAACTCAAGGTATTAAATTAAAAAACATTTCTTTTACTTTCATTCCAAATATCTGAATTTTACTTATATAGGCCACAATATGTTGTTATAAATTAAAATGGTGCGCCCAAGATACAACCTAAGATCTTTATTTTTGCTGCCAAGAGAAATAGAAGCAATCCAGGAGATTTAAACTTACTTCCACCATACTTTTTAACGCAAAATAAGTTCCTGAAAATTTAAAGAAATATAGAAAATAATACTGAAAATTAATTAAAACTATTGGAAGATGCCTAAAGTTACTCTACCAAGACTTCGTACACCCCACACCCTATTCCATGACCAATAACGCACTTTTACTCCTTAAGGTGTTGCTGAAAATTCTGAGATAGGGAAGCATTGTAGGCAATACTTCTTTTTCTAGGGTTTTAGAGAGCACAAAAAATAAACTAGGGTTTCCACAAACCCTATAAGAACAAAATTAGAATCTATAAGTTGATCTCTCTCTAGGTTGAGCTTCTCTCTTCTTTTTTAAAAATACAGCAAAGCTTTACTTTAAAGTTCCTCCACTTCTTTCTAGTAATAAAGCTTCTTAAATAAACAAGAGAGAGAGAGAGTTGCAACTATCTGTGGAGCTTTTTTGTTTTAAAAAAACGGCTTGCCATCTTTTTGCTTAAAAGGTGGAGTGCCCCCTATGTGGTAAAAACAAGGGCGTGCCGTCATAGAGGTCATGTGGGCCCCACATGGGTGGTACACAATGTGGGGGTCGGATCCTTGGTCCCCACATCTGCTATGTAAAGTTCTGAAATTTCAGAAATACCCTTTTCTGAATAAAATACATCTGAAATAATTTTTAAAAAATATTTAAAAATCACAAACATTTCTAATATCAAATTAAAATATATTAGAAGTGAACTAATACCAATGAGTCAAAGTATGCGGCACTAAGGATACTCCATCTGCCCTAGAAACCATGATCCAATGTTGTTTTTTTATCCAATCCAACACCCATGACCCACAGTCTCAAAGCAGGGCCCCATGTTTGGCTTGTCAAAGTCGCATAAGAAATAGTGAGACCACGATCCTGGAATATGGATTTCAGTTTCCCCTGTTTAAAAGCAAGTATAACACTTCTCACCATAGTGGAAAGGAGGCTCTCTCTATGCACATGTACATGTGTCCCTCAATAGGGATGCTTCCCAGTAATGCGGTTGTCAAGTGTACATGCCATACAGAAGTTTGTTGAAGCTTTGACCCTTGCTCACACAGACCTACAACCGCAAACAAGAAACCACACAATTTTCTTGGCCTACAAACATGATCCATGGGCATTTCTCTGACCTCAACAACGGATTACCCACTGTAAATCCTTGTCGGTAGCGCCACATGCACAGGGCTAAAGGTTTTGGACATGACCAGGGCCATAAACCGCCCAACCCTTGGTCAGTTAACATGCACACTTCCACTGCAATGCATATTCCATTAAAAATATCATTTTTACAAGCTCTCTATGCCTATAAAGGCCACAAAACCCAACAATTTTCATAGAATTTTTAAATTGCATAAAGAAAAATAATTACTTTATTTATTAATCATATTTTTTAAAAATGATTTTGGCAATCATATATTATTAATAAATAAGTAATTGTTGTAATAAATATCTTTTTTAATAAATTTCAAAAAGTATATTATTTCTAAGTTTTGATAATTTGGCAATCATATATTATTAATAAATTTCAAATAACAAAAATTTCAAACAATGTTTAAAATTTCAAGCATTTCATAAAAATTTTGGCACTCATTTTGTTGTTGTAGATCTAGCTATTAAAAATCTGTAGTTGTTATTCTTACAAATTGGAAGCAAGGTCTCACATTTGTTCAATCACAGTCTTTTGCACCTACGAATCACAAAATTCGATGGGGTGGAACTAGATTCCAAAGAAAATGGAACTAGATTCAAACAATATAGAATCGTCATTCCTAACTTCCAGGAATTGTAATCTGTGGCAATTCCTTCACAGAAAGGCAAAATCGCAATTCCATACCAGAATCACTACTTAAAGTGGATGATTCCTCTAACTATAGGCAAAACATGACCTCCCAGCAAGTAAGAAATAGTTGCATTTCAACTTTTAACACCTTCACGAACTTCCTCCTTGCATTTATTTGAATCAGATCTCAACCTATGCCTTGAGAGAGCGACCTACTATGTTGATAGTCAACATGTTTCATACCAGGACGAAACCCGAACATAATGAAGCCCATACTGTTGAGTGTTAATCAAAGGTGTCTTAGGAAAGCCTACTTTTAGCCCGTCATTTAGCATCCAAAGAAATGAAGTTATTGTTATAGTTCTCTAGCCAAGACAAATCTTATGTTTATTCTGCCAATCACATGCTCTATTTCCTTTCCATTCATCACGGCGCATAAACCTCGCAAAATCCAAAATTGTCAAAAAATCTTGGAAATTTCATAGATATCTCCATATGTAATATCAACCAGAAGAGAAGGAAAAAGGTGTAAATCTTATATAATGTTTTATTCCCCCAAAATTTGAATTTTTAACCAAACACAAGCCACAAAATCTTCAAGGTAGTAACACAGGTTCTTCCAATCAATCTTCAACACATAGTGGTGGAGAATCAGAAACAACAAAAGCAATGGAAGATTACAGGATACTAATTCAATTTCTAATTCATGCAGCAAAGAAAATCTCCAAGAACAAACTCACAAACAAGAAAGAAAAAATAAAAAGTCTACAACAGATTAGAAGCCTAAGCAATATCTAAATGAACCTGGGATTACTTGAGAAGAAATCCAAAACAGACCTGATCTAACTTCTTTTGGTCGTTTATTTTGTTTTTCAATTGCTCCAACTCACTCTTTGCACCTTGAGAAATTTTGCGTTCTTCATCTAGTTGTTCGATCAACTCTGATATTTTTTGCTCATACATCTGTGTGGTGTCTGCAAGTACCTTCTGGTAGGTAGAAACTTCAAGCTCAAGTTGCTACAAAAAGATTAGGAACATGAGCAGAGCTAAGGAAACAGTATCAAAACAAGACGAGGATGAGCACTAAGAAATTAGAATCATGATTCCAAGTGAAAAAAGAAGAAAAATTGCCAAAACTGAAAACAAAAACTACTATGCATCCTTCATTTGAAGGCAAAAGAGATATTGACTAAACAACATTCCTGCTACTTGAAAATTGTGTAGCAATAGAGACTTCAAGAACACTTGGAAGTTAAAATGTACATAACAAAAATGAGACAGCAGCAATTGAGAAAGACATAATTAGTACTCGTTAGCTGCCTTCTTATATCAGGAAGACATTACCAAAAGAAATCATTATTCCAAGATAAATAAAAAAAGAAGTTCTATAACAAGTGTAAATTGTTCCTTCTTTAATAGTTTTGGAAAGATCAACTATGATAAACTAATTGCTACTTAATTTGAAGAAATCAAATGAAAATAAATGATTGGAAAAACGAAATGCCTTAAACAGGAGAGTGCAAAAGTTTCTACTTAAAATGAATCAGATTCTGGATAAGTGCACCAACATACTAGATCTCAATTGCTATCAACCAAGTGGTGTATGCTGAATTTCCAATTTGATGGTGAGAGCAGCAAACGAAAGAGACCATATATTACGTAGTTCCAAACATAAACAAATAAATGATGTCTTCGAAGGAAAAAATAAGCAACACTCAACGAATCAACACTATGACCATTAATCATATAGAGTGAAAAACAATCAACTCTATCAGTGCAGAGAACAAGACATAATTCAGAGTGTGAGGAAGAAAATCTAACCATGCTTTTCTCATCTTTTTCTATCATCTTTCTTTGAATAGCATCAAATTCCTCATCGAGGAACTTCTTTTCAGCATGCTTGCTTTTAAAATTCTTCTCTAACTTCAGCAGGGAATCTTTATGTGATTTAGATAAGGTAGCAAGTTCAATTGAATGTTGTCGAGTTATATGCTGTAGTGCCAAATGTACAGACTCATAGTTCAGGAAAAAGAGTTGCAAAATAGTATGACCATATTTAATCAAATGATTTCTCAATAGAGTAAAATCCTCATTATATCAAGTAAAAGTGAGTAGGCCATTTAGCCGGGATGAGTGTTATTTCCTGCATAAGTAATATGGCTTTCAATAGGCATCAATTTTACTAATCTCATCTATGAGTTATTCTTAGCATCTAGAATAAAAATTGATATTAAAAGACCACGGTGAACACAACAGTCTTGGGAACTCAATAATTTTTTGTAGACTAAAAAATTTGTTTGGTCAGTGGGGAAAAAGTTAACCATGAAGCATCCCAAAATTTATGGTAGATGACATTAACATCATTAAATCAGACAAAAAAAAAGTCACCTATGAGAACGATAAATACACAGTATATTAACTTTTCATAATCACAGCACAAGTGATGTAACTACAAAGGAAAATAAGAACAGCACTTTGAATTGTAAGATCTCTTAAATTAAACCTGAGAAAATGGACAAAGTTCTAAACATGACCAAGTGGCAAATCTCTACAATTTTATGTGCGACGACGAGGATTAAAATCCATTACGATACATGCATTTTAACTTTATTTCTAGTTGAGGGCAATAATGTGGCTAGCCCTCTTAATACAACACAAATACCCTCACTGAGTCAATGGAATTCAAATATTTTGGTCCTCCGGTCTTCACTATACTCAAAATCCTACAAATTTTAAACTATGTTCACAAATAGCATCACTATTTAGTCCGCTTCACTTCACTTCACTATCTAATTCAGGAACTTAAAATCATGAAAAGAAAACTGAAGCACAAACCAAGTGAATACGGTCTACAGAGTAGAACTCAGACAATGAAAACAAGAATCATGAGCATGTATAATGCAAACCACGTGGTGGTGAGAAGGTGCAAAAAATGTTCAAGAAAAAACCAAAAACAAAATGCATTCAGAATCTGTAAGCATTTTCTTGAAACCATTCTACATAAGAAAGAACAAATAAATTAAAGAGCGAAAATTATATCAACATATAGTCCAATAAAGTTCAGAAGTACCACACTGTCATCTAATCGACATCGTAAATCTGAAACTTCTTCTTCTACGTTATTCTTCCGTTCTTTTTCAAGATTCAATTCAGCCATCAGATTTCTGATTTGCATTTCATAATCATGTCTTTCATTAGAAACCGACTGCAAATAACAATAACAACTAATAAGTATCTTTTACCAAAAGTTATAGAGTAAAATTTGAAGCAAAATCTGCAACTAAGAAAACAGAAAATATGCATAATGGATATCAAAGACAAAGAAGCCGAAAGGGTCTTAAACTAAAAGTATTAACCTAGAGAAGCACTTAGACATATACCGATATACTTAACAAAGTCTCACTGTTTATAAAAAAAAAACTAGGTTAAGAACCTTGGAACTAGCATGTCCTAAATAAGAACTTAACAATCAAAATAAACCAAAAAAAAATATCAATGCAGACAAATAGGAAGCAAAAAAAAACTAAATATATCATATGTATTTGCACCATCCATATCTCTAGAAATAAGTGGTAAAAATAAGTTGAATAAGACATGAAATTGAAAGGAGTGGCTATGTGGAACACAAGGTAGTAAATTCAAAAACATTCTTTTTGTTTTATTCAATACACCTGAATTCCACTTACATGGGCCACTAAACACTGCAAAAAATCAAAACTAAAACCCTAAATACAGCCTAGGATCTGTACTTTTACTGTCAAAGCAAATAAAAACCATCCAGGAGCAATAACCAATCTTCCACTACAGTTTTGAGTGCAAAATATGTTCCTGAAAATTCAAAAGAAATATAAAATTTGACTTACAAATAACTAAATCAACTGGAAAGACTTACTAGATGTCGCCTGAGTTACTCACACAGGTCTTGATACACCCCGCATCCGATTCCCAGACCGATGGCACACTTTTTGTCCCTTCTGATCTTGCTGGAATTTCAGAGATGGAAAGCTTTCATAGACAATAGCTCTTACTCTAGGGTTTTGGAGAGCATGGAAACCTAACTAGGATTTGTAGGAACAAATTAGGGCTAGGCTTGAAGGCATAGAATCCTCCTACAGCTGGGGTGTGCTCCTTTTTCTTCTCCAAACAGCAAAACCCTAATTAGGGTTTCAATGTGCCACCCTTGTCATATCAAATTTTGGGAAGCATGACCCGTTTTGGAAGGGAGAAGAGAGAAAAATAATTTTTTTAATAAACGAGAGAGAGAGAGATTTGGTGTATGGAAGAGAGAAATATGTGGGTTTAAATAGAAAGAATTCCTTCGTCTATTTGGATTAGAATTACTGCACTAGGTCTTGCCTATCCAATAACACAACTTGACCAATAGGAACTTAAGAAATCTGTCAAGTGAGAGAACAAATCTACGTCATCCATCCTACAAATCAGCTATCATAATTTTAGGAGGATTATTAAGAATCTTAACTCCTTATAATTTAACCCAAGTCCAACCTCTATTTAACTTAGAATTATAACCAATCCAAAACATCCTAATAGCATCCCAAAATCTGTAAGAAGTTAAAATAATTAGAGTTTGGTCAAATCAAACTCCTAATTAAACAAACTTTTAAAAACATAACTCTCACTTGAATAGGAATCAAATCTCTTTTTAATTTTAAAAGATTTCTAACAAACTAAAACTGCTAAGTAAAAGTGAAAGATAAATAATAAAAATGGGGCGTGCCACCTTAGGACTTTATGTAGGCCCCAAAAGGCCACACGTCCCATTTATGGGTAACACATATGTAGGAGTTGGATCCTAGGTCCCCACATGTGCCCTTCGTAGTTTTGGAAATTTCAAAATTTTATAGCAAATATAAATTTTCAAAATTTTAGAAAATTTTGCAAGAATCACAAAAACATTTCTAATACAAAAATAAAATATTGTAGAAGTAGAATGGTACTATTGGATCAAAATTAGCGACAATAAGGGCACTCTATTTGACCTAAGAAGTAAGAACTATGATCCATTTTATCCAACCCAACAAAGACCTATGACCCACAGTCTCAATCCAAGGGCCCATAATTGGCTTGTCAAAATTGGACAATAAACAATGGAACCAAGATCCTGGATTGTGGATTACAGTCCCCCTTTAAAAGTAAGTTCAGCACTTCTCACTACAGTACAAAAGGGGCTCTCTCTATGCATATGCACATGTGTCCCTCTATAGGGCTACTTCCTAGTAATGTGGTTATCATGTGTACATAACATGCGGAAGTTTGTTGAGGCTTTAGCCCTTGCTCTCACAGGCCTACAACTGCACTCATGAGACCACACAGTTCTCCTGACCTATAATCATCATCCATGGGTATCTCTCTGACCTCAACAAGGGATGACCTACTATAAACTCTTCTCGATAGTGCCAAATGTCCAAAGGTAAAGGTTTTGGACATAACCACGGTAATAAACCGCCCAACCCATAGTCAGTCAACACACACTCTCTCATTGAAGTGCTTATTCCACTATAAATTATCATTTTTACAAGCCTTCTAGGCCTTTAAAGGCCACAAAACCCAACATAAATGAATTATAAACAAAGAAATCTCAATAGGATACTAATATCCAAAATAATTTGCAATAAACAACATGACATTTAGAAACTTGATCAAGCATCTCATACCCTAATCGTAGAAAATTGCTCTAACAGTAAGATAAATAGATAAACCATAAAAAAAATGAAGTTTCTAAATTTCAACACTACAGAAAATAAATCTCTATATAACACGTACAAAAAAATTAGATCTATTCTTATTGATCCAGAATGACATTTAAAAGTAGAAAGTAACAACAATATGAGCTCGCATCTTCTTTCAAAATTAATTTAGCACTTACAAATGAAAAGGGACCCACCCAAACTCCACCTGAACACATATCAAACATTTCATTACAAGATGAACAAAGAAATCCAACACTTATGGAAGTCGTCCATTATGAGAGACACATTGTCAGTCATTCCACAACTCTTCAGGTCTAAGTTGAACCTTCCAGCACAATGTGTTTCCAACTTTCCTCCAAATATAGCCATAGAATTTTGTGATATTGTCGTGAGGATGGTTGAAAGCAGCAAATGAAACAAGCATTCTAAACAAAACAAAACATGGAGCTTTGTTCAAGTCCCAAGTGTCTTACACATTTTAGCCAGCTAGCTAGTGCTGCATGTGAATGTAGCATAGGAGAGAGGACTTAAGATAATCTTTTAAAAAATATTAAAACCTAATATTTTAAAAATTTGGAGGAGCCAATGTGCATTGTGTTATGATAGTTCTTTCCCTTTGTCGGTCAGTACCATCATAAGAAAATAAACTAGAAAAAAATTACAAAAAACAAGTTAAGCACCGTTAATGGATGAGAAGTCTTTCGAACTAATAGCTCAAAATGACATGTGTATAAGACTACATACAGTACATGAAGCTAGGTTTTGTAAAAAAATAGCACGGAAAGAAGCCTACCAAGTAGACTCTAAAAGCCCCAACCCCAAGGTTATGAAAATAAAAATTGCTAGAAATTACTGTGACAGTTACCCCGGCACAAGCTGAAAGGCGTTTTCCTGCATCTTCTAAAGAGTCCTGGCACCTCTTAAGCTTCAACTCCATCTCTTTCACGTAACTATCTCTCCTTTCAATCTCAGTAATAAGATGATCTAAACGATGCTCAAGATTTCGAGAATGGCTTTCATAGTCAAACTCTTCCTTGAGCTTGATCATGTTCTCCACTTTCATAGCCTGCAACAAGAATTTAATGCTTGAAACAAAATACTTATCAAAAGAGTCTGACAAAGAACACTTGCATAGCCATCTTACTTCATAAATGCAACCAATGATTTTCGTTTAATGACAAATTAAAACCAAGGTCTAAACAAATAGTGATCTGGATCAGAATAGGCCGATGCAAAGCAGGAACCCGTCAAGCCGTCCCGATTCCGACAAAATATTGGACACGGTTGGTTCCCTCTATGAACGAACCGGTTCTCTAACAAAACCGGCCCCATAGAAAACTAATCAAAACAAGGCCCCATTTTATTTTTTATTTTTTCTTGAATTTTTATTGGGCGGCTCTGCTTCTGTCAAAATAGTGGTCAGAACATGCCCCATTTTTAATTTTCCATTTTTTTAAATGTTTTATTGGCCGGTTTTGTCAACAGTATCACCAATCCGGTCCGTGAATTCACTGAATCGAGCTAGTTTTTCGGATCGGCGATCCGAGTCACCAATCCGTTTGTTTAGCAATTGATTAAAATAGAAAGGAAATCAAGTCAAATAAGTAATAATGCACAGGAGGTACCATATTTAAAAACATTACATGAACCTAAATTTGAAGAGGACACATAAAGAATAATACTCAGCATTATCAAATGGCAAATATGATCAGACACATTTTTGGTAAGTCTTACTTTATACTACAGAAACGTATTAAAAAACTGCAAATTATAGTGTAGGGATAGAATTTCATGTCATAAAGGTGTTCCCTTCTTGTAGCAATAAACTTTGGGTGCCGAAGTGACTGCAAATATTATGTGCGAGCGTGCGTGCTTGCGTGCGTGCGTGTGTGCATGTGTGCATGTGTGTGTGTGCGGGGCATGCATGCCTAATGAAATCAATCCATGCTTCTATCTTGATCTTAACATTGAATATTGGGTATCTGAGTAGGTGCTTGCTTAAACATAACTACTTCTACTAAATAGAAGACTGAAAGAGAGAATACAACAATAGTTGCCCAAGAAAGGAAATAGCAAGAAATTCAAGATGCTAGGCTGGAACATGCTTCTCTTGCAATTTTTACAAATGCTTGTGTGTGTGTGTGTGCGGGGCATGCATGCCTAATGAAATCAATCCATGCTTCCTCTATCTTGATCTTAACATTGAATATTGGGCATCTGCGCAGGTTCTTGCTTAAACATAACTACTTGTATTAAATAGAAGACTGAAAGACAGAATACAACAATAGTTGCCCAAGAAAGGAAATAGCAAGAAATTCAAGATGCTAGGCTGGAACATGCTTCTCTTGCAATTTTTAAAAATGCTACACAGCCATAGATTTCCCAAAGTACAAAGGCCCTCTTCCCAAAGTTTAAAAGTGAAGGAGTATATGTGATTATAGGGGTTTCTTCCACTTATCCAATCAAGATAGCATGATTCCCACAATAAAGACGGTAAATTTCAAAATCTGCTGATTGAAAACAAAATCCACGGCAACATGTTTACACAATGGAACAAACAACTAAAACAATAATAGGCCTACATGTCAAAATACTAAGTTCTTAATTAATATTTTTTTTTGTTAGGAATGGTTTAGCTTTGTGATCAATTATACAGATGTCTGCAACTAACTCTTTAGCTTGAACTAGATATATCACATATATTCCTAATGCTGAAATGATTGTTTAGGGGTCATAATGAGGCAATAACATTGTTTTAAAATACAGGATGCAGTTCCGATGAGCTCGGGTGCCGACGTGGCTCGATACGGTCCAAAGCGGGTGCATCACCTTGATGCGGTCAATAAATATAAAAAAATTCTAAAAACTCTCAAAAAATAGGTTAATGCACAAAAAAAAATATGGAGGTGATTTATGTGATAGTATTTAATTTATTCATTAACTACAAAAGTATCAGTTGTAAGAGATTTTGTATCCACTATCCCCTGATAGATCATAGAAGACATTAAAAAGTAGAAACTACAAATTTGAGATTAACTTTATAGAAGATAATAGAACTTAGAAAACATCGATATTTTCTCAGCCCTTGAAACCCTCGATATGTTGTCAAATATTTGCTCAAACTTCCTCAAATCAACACCCAAACTAATCCCAATCAACAAGCAAAGATCCACCAAGACAAAATCGCAAGATTTTCTCACAAAAATTTTCTGCCATTCTTTTCTTTTTTGATTGATTACATAGAAAAAAAGGCACGAAAGTGGCTGTTTTTTCTGGTTTGGGGGGTTTAATGCCCCCCCCCCCCAAAAGAACCATTTCCGCCCCTTTTCACGGGGCAAAAATACCTAAAGACCCCATTTAGAGGGGTTTTTTTTCATTACACTATTTGGGCACATACGCGGTGCGATGCACAATGCGGCATATGCGTTGGGATGCGACGCATATGCAGGCGCATACCACCAAAGAGCATATGCGCTGCTTTGCGATGCACCTCCTAGCGCATACCGTATGATGCGGCCACTAACTGAGCAATAAAGCCGCATTTTAAATCAATGGGCATTAACTTGCAACTTAATGGAAACCAAACAAAGGAAAATAGGCAAAGAACTTCGTATGAGAAAAGGAACTTCTTTCACCAAGGAACTCAGAATAGACTTTAAAGCCAGGGTCATAACTTACAGATCATAAACTCAAGCAGTGATAACCTATGACAGTATTTAGAAGCTCGAACTCGGTGACCAACATGGTCATTTGCCAAAACGGAGTCGAATTGCCAAGCCAAATAGTACACTAAGACAACTTCAGTGAGCTATTGAGGATCTTGTGTGGAAAAATTTTAAAATTCAAGGCGCCAGTTATGGTGATTTGAACCCAGCTCATGTACAAAGCATACCGCAACGCAATCAGCTTGGAAGGGACTGTTTGTTAACCAAATGAAAACGCATATATCTATGGATACAGTTTTGGTGAGTCAGATGGCATATCTATTTTCATACAACCCCCTCCAAAATCGGGTCTTAGAAATGGATTTTGGATCCAAAATTTTAGGGGTTGATAATCTCGACCATGGTAATCAAGAATCTGAAAAGGCAACTAAATAAATAAGTTTTCAAATTTAAGAATGGCTTTGTTTTACACTAGTTATTTTAGTTTTTGGTAAAAGCACCTTTTTTGCAATTCGTCTTAAAGAAGGACATTTGATGCATCAGGCGATGCAACCAATAACTGTGTTTCCTGATGCATCAGATACTTTTCATATGTTCCTGGATAATGAACAACCTGACTTGACTCAGGAAGGTTTCCTAGTTGAATATGTTTTTTTTAGCTTCACACGAGTAATGTCAGATGACAGCACTATGATTCATCAAATATTCGGGCGATGACTAAATTTCAAATCCACGTGTAATTAGTAATAGCGCAGCACAAATACCACAAGTAATACTAAAAGGAAGATACATTTTCATGCAGATTGCATATGATAGCAGATATCAACCAATGAAAAACCAGCAATGACTTCCAAATTCAAAACCTAAAGCTCTTTCAGCAGTGGAATTTTTCATTAAAACCTATTCAATAAATGATGGAATCAGTATTCAACGCACTCGTTGGCCAAACATAATAGTACTTGATGTTTCTGAATGGTGCCGTGAAGATGGTCCAATTGTTACTACCAATGAAGTTCTTGCAGATCCTGTGTATCAATTGAACAAAGGTTTCTTAGCAGCTGTAACACCAAACTGATAAGAGGATGATCTAACTCTCAAGTTCCAAATTTATGATTTATAACTATTAAATATGCATGAATTTGAAGTTGCAAGCATGAACATGAGGAAAGGTTGATAATGAAAGCTGGAGTTTGAGGAATATAGCTGAAAGATGAACTTCCAACTGAGAGCTCTGGTTTTGTTCTCTCAAAATAAATAAATAAATAAACAATAGGAGCTCTAGTCTTGACCAAAGCAGAATACATGAAAATAAAGTGTTAATCCTTTCATGAAATCAAAAAGAATTGTCCTTCTACGATGATACCCCAAAACACCTTAGAAGATGTTGGAGAAGAATGAGACAATGTATGAATGAAACAAAAAAATTTGCACATACATCATTAAGTGTTCATAAAAATCATTAGGTTAAATCATTAAAATATTTTACCTGCCTTAGTTTAACACGCACAATGTTGATGCATGAACTTAAAAAGTGTTAGACAATGGTATACGTTTAAGAGTATTATGGTCATTGTTTTTCTGTGTTCTTTGCCTAACTATTGGTTTCACAAGTCTGATTCTCCTTATTATGTTGCCGAGGAATTTATGTCCCACCAAGACGTCATAACAAAAGATGCACATATAAACCTTCCCATTGTAGGATGTTCCATGTCGATGAGACATAACCTAGAACCATCAAAGAGGTGCTTCCTCAAAATATCTCAAACTCCCATGCATAATGTTACAACTATCCCATCAAGTAAGCTGATAATTTTTTGAAAGATAAGACTCTTGTATTCGAAAGATATAAATGCAATTAGCACATCACTATGCGAAAGGACAAAAAGAACTCACATGGACAACAAATGAAAGTGTAAAATGGAATCAATGCAGAAGACAGAGATTCTTCCCTGCGGCCGGCCTTACAAATACCCTCAATTGCTTATCACTAATTGACACACAAGCAGTTGAATCGAATCCGACTAAATATAAGCATAATGGCATATATCCAATATAACATTGTGGTTAGCAAATCATCTTCACAAAGTAAAACAGGAAAATATAGAGAGAACACATTGAAAGGAAATTTTGTAACCTCCAAAAGAATCACGAAGCAGCCTGGTTAGCTTGGAGTCTCTCGTAGGTACATGAGGACTATTTTCAGCCAATGCATTAATGCATTTTCCAAGTGATGTAAGAGAAAGATTGATAGATTTGGCCTCTTCTAGAGAATGACCCTCACTCCCTGAACACAGATTAAGATCAATAACAAGTGAATGTCAGGTACACTAAAATCTAACAGTTAATGAGGATTTAAAGATTTGATATATGAAAGTTCATTATTATAACAAAAGAATAATAAATTTTGGAAAATAAATTTATTTTAATCGAATGTCTAAACTACATAAATGTATTCAACAATAATCCAAAGTTTTTATCAGAACTTCTGATCAATAAGAGGATAATCCTAAAACATATATGCAAATTCTTATTCGGCTGATGGATGGTCTCGAGACTCTACAGGTTCTGGAATCATTCAAATGAAAGGAAAATTTCAAACAACTATAAGTGGATGGTGATCGTAGAGTCATAGACAAGGTTCATTGACAAAATTAATGAAAACAGTTATCAAATATAGTATGCCTTGGGGATAAGAGCAATACACAAAGCAGATGTTCTTGTTATTCATTGGTGCTTAAAGAAGAACAATGCCTCACAGAAACAAAACACGTTAATCCAATTAACATAGGAGTTTAACCATTACTTGGTTTCAATCCCTAAACGAATAATTTTGCATGAAAAAAAAATTTAATCCATTTAAGCCTACCAATAAAAGCTCCAGTTCCAGTTGCATTTATCATTGCACATATGCATGGTCTACAATCATAGTTACCAGGATATCCAAACTTGGTAGTGATCCGAGCATTTGCATGCCCCTAAAACAAGACCTTGTGTGGATCTTGCTCCGTTACAGAGGAACAAGATCCCAATTCATTAGGGATCAGTAGATATAAACCACACTCATGTCAGATTGACCTCTTATAAGGAAATAAATTTTAAATGTACATCCATTAAAAAAAAGAAAGTAATTTTGTTGCAAAATAATGTTATGTATAGCTCAGTTGGTAGAGCAAAGGACTATAGTTGATAGTTGTTATTCTTAAGTCGTCAGTTCAAATTCAGCAAGCTGGATAATATCTTTTGAATCAGGCCCGGGCTTGAGTGGTTAACAACTGACGTTCAGCAGTGCCATATTTCAAGTTCAATTCCCACTGCTGATATATATATATATATTCAAAGAGAACTATAAAGTTTATCATGCGATACCAAAAGGGTGGGATCCAGCCTGTCAACTTGTTGGGATCGAGATCCTTAAAATTCGAAGTGTATGTATAGACAGCTATCCCAACAATAGGGAGCTTGTAGCCTACTACGACCCATGCATCCGCTCTCGATCCCAACAACTATGGCTCAAATTGAACTTGATCCATATTCTAGAACTTGCTTGATTTACATGGAAGACAAAATAAAAGATAGTGTGAGATAAACAGAACTATTACTCCATATGATTAAACTACAGCTGATAAGTTTGTATTGCACAATCAAAATGCTCAAGCTGACTTAAACAGACATAAATAGTGAAGCGATATAGAGAATAGGGTTCTCTTTTACACAAAACTTAACTTGGAAATGGAATTGAAAATTTTACAATCAATGCAAGCACATACAAGTGCAAACACTCGTTGCCTACAATTACACCCTCAAACTACAACAACAATGATTCAAATATCACTTGAAAAATAAAAATTACAACTCAATGGAGTCCCCAAGTCATTTGCTCAAGCACTTTATATATGAAGAAACAAACTATGTCACTTTACACAGACTTTCACATGGACTACACATATAACTTTTCCATCAACAAATACATTACATCAAGACATCATATTCAATTCTCAACAACTTCAAAGTTTCACAAACTCAAAACCACAGTAAAGAGAGTGCAAAATATGCAAGGGAAGACAATGCTAGAATCTTTTGTGCCCATGTCACGAAATGGATCTTTTAGGGACTTAGTTCTACCTCATAATGATAGTATGGAAGGCTTAATCACAAGGGCTTTCTCACTCACACAAATGGGAAGCTTATGGTCACTGATCTACCACTTAAATATGATCAAAATGAGAGAGAGAAGGGGAGAGAGAGAGAGAAAGAGAGAGAGAGAGAGAGAGAGATGAACTTTTAAAGCACAAAGCAGTTTTGAAAAGTCAAATGAAAACAGCTCATATGGAGCACATAAATGACCATATAGTAATGTATAGTGGGGCAATTTCTCAAACATTTTTTTCTGAGGCTGAACTCCACAAAATGACATTCAAAAGGCCACGAAATGCCGCTGATTTTTATGAAAATAGTGCTCAAAATCTCAGGAAAACCAGGCGCTCAAAGCATGAAGAAAATGGTGCCTAGTTGAAGAGTCCATTGACTAAACAATGCATACTATGTCGTATACATGAATGGTATAAAAAGGGTAATAAAATATCATTAAAAACTCAAAGAAATGTGATAAAGATGTTTCTGTAATGGATGAATTGCAGCAAATAAAATAGAGGAGAAAGCTCAAAATAGAAAAGAAATGGTAGAAATAGTTACCTTAGAACATGAGGACTAGACATTTCAAAGCTTAGCATGCACCACCAGCATAGTCATGAGGCTTCACCAAGGGAATGAGGAAAAAAACTAATGAAGGAGATGAAGGAACTCAATACGAGGGACATGGGGCTCTCTCTCTCTTCTCTCTCTCTCTCTCTCTCTCTATAAGACAGCTCGCAAGTGTGTAGAGAATGGGGTTGAGTGACGGTCTATGTAGATTTGTGGTAGTGTGACATTGTGAATGAATGAATTCAAACCCTTGATGCTATTCATCTACGACATGTGAGAGGACTACGATCCTAGCCATACATCCATGACTAGCCATCAAGATTAATGGATGTGATTTGCATACAATTATCACTCCATAGAACCCTAGATTAAGCCATTCTGCCAAATTGTCCTTATCCCATACTCATTCCATGATTATCCATAAAACTTCATGAAAATAATAAAACACCATAAGAGTAGGGGCATGCCATTATGGTAATTTGGAAAAGGTATTCCAACTAGGATAATATCTCATGGTTAAGCCAATCACAATGTGTCATTTTATAAAATTCACATAGGCTTAGCCAATAGAATCATGGCATCTAAAAAAGTGGATCAAGGGACAATTTCTATTTAACACTTAGGGTTTAGATCATAATTTCATGTCCTTAACCCTAGGCACATGTACTCCATCCAACAATTGTGTCAAAATTTCATGAGACAAAATAAAGCATGTGTTATAAAACAAACTTTTATTAAAAAGCTTAGAACTTTTAAATGAACAAAATAACAAATTCTAACAAAGAACACGCCACCCTTATTTTGATGTCATGATGACAATAGCAACAAAGTGGATTGTGGGACTGCCATGTGGCTACCTTGTGGCCAATTGGGTGCCACATGGAGCCCCCACTAATTGTCCTTGTCTAGAATTAGCCCCAAACAATTTATAAAATCTCATTTTTTGCTCCAAAACAATTCCCATCAACTCTCAAAAATTCCACCATAAGTACTCATTTTCTCATCATAATAAGATCAGACAAGTGGTAAATGAGATCTCTAGGCTAAGATCCAGGTATCAGAGTAGTCCACTAGACTAGTCCAAAATGGTGGTCCACTTATTTCGGAATTACCTAACAAGTTTATGCTCCACAATATATGGCAGGGACGTACAAGCTTATGCTCCACTTATTTTGGAATTACCTAACAAGCTTATGCTCCACTTATTTCGGAATTACCTAACAAGCTTACGGTCCACAATCCGGTTTCATCAAAATCACACCAATCAAGCTTTCGATCACCTGGTTCTCAGTGGATTATAGGTGCACCCCTGTGGTACATGAGAGGGCTCACATATAAGGGTCCTCTAAAGGCACATGTGCACTAGTTCTTTGTAATATGATCATACATCAGAAGAGTGGCTTCCCATGCGATTGTGAGTATGCATGCCATAGGATATTTTGTGTCAAGGTACGAACTCATGTCTGTGGGTCATGAACATCCTATACAGGTTCGTTACTCTAAAGATACTCGGGTTTTATATTTGTTGTTTGGTTCTCCTAGCCCTGGCCAATCACACCAACCATGAGGTACACTCATAAATATGGCTCTGACTCGGAGGTGACCCTCACACCTCCACAAGCAATCTCTCCCTCGAAGTCACTCATTGCCTCATGTACTACTGGGTATATGATTCTGGGCCCTAGTGCGCCAAGTTCCCAAAATCATCTTCCCTCACTCACTCCAACTAACTAAGAGAGTATTAGCTTTAAGGTCTTGAAATCCAACGAATAGCTTACCCCAAATATTTGGGATAAGGCATTGATGATGATGATTATGATGACTTAAAAAAATATAAATGCCTATTTATATATGTACATATACATCATCATGGGAATTTCTTTTGGCCCCAGGGAGGAGGCATTATCAATAAGAGCTAAAAGACTAGTTTGCAGAAATGATCCCTTTGGTGTTGTAGTAATAACACTGTCATTTCACCCCTTGAAGGAATTTTTGTAATTTTATGTATGTTTCATGTAATATTAGAATATATTAGGAGTATAAATGGAACTTTACTTAAGACCCAAAAGTGCATCATTCCTACAAAGTGAAAATATTGTAAGCCTATCTCCCTATCCAAACATCATCTTCATCTTTTCTTCCCCTTGTGTTTTTTCTTCCAAAGGCTTTTTTGTTTCTTGCTTTCTTGTTCTCTTAAATGGTATCTTAAGACTAAAAGATTTTCTAAGTATAAACAGTCTTAATCAAGGTAACTCATAATCCTTCTTTGCTTCACTTCTTGTTTCTACTTTTCTCTCAGCCATGCTTCTCTCGTTTCAAAAACTCCTACTAATCTCTCTCCTCCTTTCACTTCAAACCCTAACTAATCTATCTCTCTTATCTCTCCCTGATACTCTCTCCATTTAAAAATCTAACGTAAATCTTTTTCTCTTTATGAAACCCTCCAAAGCTCTCTCTCCGACATAATCGAAATCTCTCAATCTTAAATCAGCTTCAACTTCTCTCTCCCAATCTTGAATCAGCGCCAAATCTCAATATCAAAACCTTAATATCTTTATGAACCCTCATATCTCTTTATCTCTCTCAATTTCAAATCAGCCTCTTTAAACCATGATCTCTCTCTCTCTC